GTCTCACGTATACGGCATGTTCTAAATACTTCTATCATCACCACCACTTCGTTGGCACTCGCGACAAAGAGTGTTGAACGAACTTGTCTGATCTCATACTAGCACCTTTAAATGAACCACTTATATAAGAAGGTGTACTTAACCTAAAATCAATATTACCGAAACCAGAAAATTTTGTCTTACTAGTCGAGCTCACGAAATCAATGACTTGAAAGTATGTATATTTGGAATAAGAACGCCCGCTTACAGCGGGGATTGCTCAAAGATATTTTCCCCGAGTTTACCAATTAGATTATCCCTTAAACAAAACAAAATTCGAAAACTAAATTAACGCGTCTGCTCTCTGAAAGCTTTTCGCTCTTTTAAATTGCGTTAAAATGTTTGCACGTTCATTGATTAATTAAACGTTTGGTTTTTTTTGCAATACTAGGTCACATTTGCAGTATTCAAATTAGTCGCACCTGGCTCTGATGTTGCCATATATATACGAGTAGTCGAGTATATATGGCGAAAATCTGTTGTGTTCGTTTCTGGACGTGGAAAATAACAGCTGGGTGTTGCACGTATAATGTAATTTTTGTTCCCGTCGCTCTTTTATTTGAGATTATTACAAGTTTGTCACCTTGAATAGGCGCCAGGGAATTGTTCGCGTGCCCCTTTTTCATACCGTTGTTATTATACCTCCCATCGCAAAAGAGATTATTATTGTTTACTTACACGATTAATCAGGGTAAAGTTCACGCAGGTGTGATGATGAAGAGCAGGTCTAACGTTGTCAACAATAACAAGGTACGCGTTTATAAACGTAATGATCAATCATCTTTACCTTCGTTTTACCTTTTTATACGCCAATGTATACATTTCCACTCAAATAAACCCCTTCTTGCACATCGCAAAATTTTACTGTCGTTAAATCATTCATTATTAGACACACACAAAATTTGATACATTTGACAGCCCAAAAGTACACTTTATTTACAATTAAATCTTCCTTATTACGGCACATCTATCGCAAAAATAGCAAATGGTAGACAAATTACGGCAAACTCGATAGCGGGAATGAACGCAGCAAATCACAAATTAATTAACGGTCTCTACGGGAAAGCAAATGCAGAAAAGCGAAACAATACCCCCCCTTATAATTAATGGAACAGGACGTAGCAAAAAGCTTACCTTGCAATAAAAAGGAGCGGTAGAAATTATTGTGCACGAATAAGCAAAAATTGTTGATACGGCGCGGTAAAGATAATGTAAACGCAAAAATTAAACAGCTCGGTACTTACAAACATGCAAAGACCTCACTCAACGTTTACTGCAACAGAATCATTTAGCGACGGTTAATTGCACTTACTCGATTGACCGGATTGAAATTTCCAAAGTCGGTAGTCTAGTAAAGCTCATTGTTAATTGGAATTTTTCAGATCGGCATAAAGGATAAGAATTGATATCAGAGTAAACCTGCATGGCCTTGCAATTTTAATACCCGTTTTAATTTACTATTGGCGCGTTGCCTTAAACGTAGGTACTCGTTTTCTCAAGTAACTCCACCGAAGGTAAGGTTAATTGAGTTCAACAAATATTTCGGGACTATAGTTCCTAAGTACTTGACCATAGGCCACCTTTACCAACGAGTATTCACTCAACGGTAAACTGCCCAAATCGCACAACGATTGCTCCTACGTCATAAAGGATCAGAACAGATTCTAGAAATGTACTGCGGTATGAATTAAATGAATATAACTGGCATAACGATGTTGTGACACTGAGTGCGATTAAATGAATAAGTGAGGAACATTGAACTCTATGTTGTCTATACAGTCCAATGGTCAGCAATGATCAACGGAAAACAGCGGACAGGACAAGGTATAATTCCGGTACTGGAACAAGTTTAGTTTAAACGGTTTTCGCAAGAAAGATCGTCAGACATTTGTTTATTTCGCTCTTTTATAGAAAGAGGAGACAGATAAGGAACAGTTATAAGAAAGTTGGTTGGGGGGGGGGAGGGATAAGTCTATTGTACAATGACTGTATGAAGATAGTGTGGTCAAAATGTTCCATGTCGGTCATGTTTTTTAGCATTGGAAATGCTTATGTTTTGTGTATGGGTATGAAGTTACCCGTTTCGCTAAGCAGAAAAGAAGACAAAGGTGTCGCGTCAAGTGTTGATTGTACCGTAGTCGGCCGCAATCGGTAGATTAAAGAAAAGTCGTGAATACTGTACTGTCGATACGGTACTTACTTAATAGTGCGCAATTGTTTTGTTAATTCCAATCTAAATTCTCGCACATCTCCTTTAATAGGATTACAAGCATGTAATAATGAGGTTATTCAGAAAGTATACGTTTGCGATACGAGCGAGCTTGTGATCGAGTGGAGGAAGTGATCCCGGATGAATATGGCTTATTTGTGTTTTACATATAGCGTTATACGGTTATCATTTCCAATGTTTCCGATGGTTCCGATTTTTTTCCAGTTTGAGGTGATTAAACCCAATTGTGTCCATCAAGATAAATGTATCACCTTAGTGTCCAGGTTAATTTCCACCAATCCGGTATAATTATATTATTATATAATTTTCTGAAAATCAGGATGACATCTAGCGGAGTAATTTTACAGTACATACTGCTGTGTGCAATGGCACTAGGTCACCCACAAAACATCTGCCCAGCTAGCTCAAAACAAATAAACAATTAACAACCCAAAAATCCACAATCGTAATTTGGCCTCAAACTGATACAAAACTGTTCAATTAAACACACAATCAATTATTATCCATTCATTAATAAACAATGAAAACCGCCGCAAATAAAGGCATACAGAGCCGAAACAAAGTTACAATGCGATCGATTCAAGCAGATTAAATAAAGTCGTAATTACCGTGATACTGTTAATAATCCAAAAACCAATCTTACACTACTATGTCCAGTCTAAAAACGCACAACTCACAACCACAATCAATTTTCCGATTTTCCGGCGTACATATTCACTTTCTTTAATCAGATTTATTTCCGACTTGGAACGAACAGTATTGTAATAGCTTCACTAAAACGTCTCACATTTAATTCACTTACATCCGATATTTCGATAAGCCCCCAACACGGCTCCCCAAATATCCCAACTTCATAATTAACGGGGGAAAAACACCACGGGGAAGGCGGCCTCGCCTCAGGTAAACGGTAGAATGCTTCCGCCGAGCAAGCCCACAGCGAAAAAAACCTCGTAAAAGCACTTGCTGTTCCATTTAACACACTTCCATGGTTTCATACGCACTGATTGGAAGCTGCCAGATCACAGATATCAAGGTTTTTAAATTGCAAATGGCCCCCCCTACGATTTTTAACAATTTTAAATTATCATTAAAAGCTTAAAATTGCAAAATTTAAATATTGGCAACATACGATCGGTGCACTAGATGATTATTTTGAACCGTTTAAACAGACATGTGTTGTGGTATCCTACCTTCGACTTCTTTCTTCGCAGCTCCCACATTGGTAGTGTCACTATATATAACCTTACCTTGTTGCTTTACTCTGTATATGTTGCTATCTGCAAGGAGAAACGGTCACTAAACCACCCATATAAACACCTGTTCACCTTGCCCAATTAAACAGGAGCGAACAAAACCTTTTTAAAGAATTTTTTTTCTATAAATTTTTTTTTACGTTCGTCTCTTTTGTTTATCAACTCTTTCCTTCTACACCTTCCGCCTCTACTTCTTTATCAAAATTATTGCGTCATCAACGATAAACTCAACACCTGTGTTTCCTTTCCACGCAAAACATCTGCTGATTTTAGAAATTGAATTATCTTTACGCAGCGATAACAAACTCTTATCGCACTGACCGTAGATAAACTTTTACAATAACACGAAATTATTTCCAAATGAATAAACATATCCTTTTAACACAATTCAACTTTAAAATTACCAATAAACAAAGTGAATATTTAAACAAAATCAACATCTAATAAATCGGAAATAAAATAACGTTACATTACAATTCAAATAGCATTATCGAATTCGTGTTCAATCTCAAATTAGCGACCACATTTAACTTCAAAAATTGTAATTCACACCATACAGGGTGACTCATCGGTATTAAAAGGTGCTAATAGTAATCTTGTACACAAGAATATGTGTATAAATGCACGTTAGTTAGATTTTGTGAGGTTCGTTAATTTGTTTTGCTCTTACTCACTTAAATAATTTTGAATAAAACACGCGAGAGTAAAATCGAGTTTTATCATCCCTCCCTCACCCCAAAAATCTAGTTCTTTTACACTATTTTAAATATCTCATAAGCTGAGTATTCGCTAAGAAAAATTGGGCATTCTGAGCGAGGCGTACCTACCATTACAGTACCGTCAACATAAATACGTATATCGGAACGTATCGGAAGACGGGAACATGAGGGTGTAATATTGTCGGTGGAGTCAAAACTTAAAATGCCAATGTATCAAGGACTAAATTCGGAAATGGGTACTTACACCGGGAAAGGCGAGGGTAGGAACTCGAAGTATTCGCCGCTGAGATTAAAACTTGAAATTCCACGAGGACAAAGTGTCGAAAAAGGGTACTTACAAGTTACAAAGGCGAAAGCGGAGGTAGGGACGTGATGTATCCATTGGTAGAGTTTAATATTTTAAAGTTGGAAGCTTCAGGACTTTTAGAACTTTGTAATTCGTAGATCGCCCCTCTACAAATTACAACTCCAAACCGTCACTAATAAATCACTAAAAAAAAGGTTTCAACGTTTTTAAGGAGCGATGGTTCCCCTGCGATGGCTAAAAATGTTCGAAATTGTAAGACTTGGGGAGTTTGCGAACGACCTTCCCCACTATGAAGAATAGGGCGCGCAAACATTTCAACAAAGTTGTGTGGTAAAAATTTGGCGAAATAGAGGTGCCAGAGTGTTTAATTATGTAGGTAATTGTAACGGTTCATTTTCGTATCTAATTTAATACACTTTTCTTATCTAATTCGTTCCTCTTAGTAATACTATACACCTTGACTTCTATGTGTTGTGGGTTGCTCTCTAATTTTCTGTTAGTGCTTTTCCGTTTTCGAACTTTCTTTCTTGTATTCTTTTCTTGATAAGCTAATTTCCTTCTGATAACATTCTTTTCGGTGATTTTTCCTGTTTCCTGCGGACATTTTTTGGCAAGTGCACATTTTGTAATCTGAGAGTGATTTACCAATTTCCTGAGCTATTACCAATCTTCATACGAAGGAATATTCAAGAATTTGGGCCAGACAAATAGAATAGCTACCCGTATTTAGTCGGAGGTTTTTTTTGGTTGCCTCAATTGGGTAGTATTCCATATCGCTTTATGCGGACCTAAAATCGCTTAATCTTCAGCTCGCCTACCAACTTAGAGGTTCGTGCTTACCTTTTAGTCCCGTGTCTATAGCAATATAATCTTTTAGCTTCTTCGTATATGTGAAACTTGGGAGCCGTATCTGTTCCGATTTTACTTCAAACTTGTTTTCTACGTGTTGTCGCTGCCCGATTTATGTTCTTCGTTTGTGTCGCCGTGTTCAGCCGTGATATCGACCTGTCTTTGGACGCCTACACCAACTTCAGTTCCCGCACCACCAGAGCCACTTAGGGGTACATTAAAGGAGCCCAAAGGTCAGCGTTGTGTGTGCTGTACACTATTATTTGTTGACCTACATTAGTGAAGATGGTTTGACCCCCTACACCTACTTACTTTCCTTATCCTTGCTTCCTTAATTCCTTCCAATTTTTTTTTCCTTCCCCGTGTATCGAGAACTTCCTAATTCCCTCTCTGTAAATCCTAAGTTACTTGTTGTTGTTGTGTTATTTAAATTTTGTGCACTAAAACTTTATTATGATTTAATTATAATTTTTTTTGCGGTTACGTACCGAATTTGACAGAAAGTTAGAAGTGTAGTAGAGCCACTGATAAATCGGTGGTTGAGCACAGCTCACGAAAGTAGTTTTTTTATCTTTTTTTTATTAGTTCACATGTTAATTAACTTGCATTTTTTTTTAATTGTATTTTGTTTTTGTGAAACCGGACACAAGGTAAGTTGCTTGAATTGTAGAATACCCAAGGTAAGGTACATATGAACGGGGGTTTATTGATACAGAAAGGCCTTTCCCCAAATTACCCTCTTGCTTCAAGTCAACTGAACTATTCAATTACCACTCTGCACCTACTCACTTATTTAAAAAATTATTACTACGTTTCATACAGACTTGTGAACGGTTGGTTACCTTTTTTTTTTATTTATTTCCCTCAAATATTTTGTCAGTTTTTTTCATTTGATATTGTTGAATTTATTTAATTCTTACCATTACGTGCGGTTATTGATTTTCAAATATATGCTTCTGCTTTCCTCCTCCTTATCTTTTGTTTTCTTGCGTGTTATATTGTCCCCTTTCTTAGCTTACTGGCTGATCACGACTCTACATCCTGCTTGTGAAGCGAGGGCAGGATCAACTCAGATTTGCTGGCGGAGATTAGTTAAGCTTCTGGCGCCCTATTTATTAACTTCTAGATTTACCCTCGACCTATCCGACGAGCGAGCCGAAGCAGATCTTTGCACCATCGCCAGAAGTTTTTAGTGTGAATTTCATTTGTTTCTTCTATTGTCCGTCCGTGGCATAATGTAAGCAATCCTGGTAGTATCGCGAGCTGTGGAATGACAAAGTTTTGTAAAATCGGCATTAGGGTCTAACGATGTCTAGCGTCACTCGAAGCTGAAAGACTAACAAAACGATTACATTGTTAACCACTTCGTGTACCCACTCACCGTTGGGATTACCGCGAAACGTTTGCTCATGTATAATACAAAAGTCCATCACGCATATATCCTTCAAATGTGTACACTATTCAAATACTTATACATGAAACTTTAACGAAGTAGGTATTCTAGAGGGATCTCCACTCTGTGTTACGAAGGAAACTATTCCACGTGTGCATTTCTCTCAAGGGAAGATAATCGTCACTTCATTTTCTCTGATTTCACTTTAGTACCTAATTACGTAAAACCACAGATGTAGTGTATTTACATCTGTGGTAAATGCGTTTCAGTTTTTAATTTGCAATTATAGAGAAAATAACACGAAATCTGTTATGGGACTCGATCGATCCGCTTGTAATAAAATGATGGACGCATGAAATAATTAAACATTCTCTCCACACGCAGATAGATCATTGTCGGATCGCATTAACAGTAAGTAATTGATGCGGAATTTTTTTTTTAATATTAGGGGCACAATTACCTCAAGGTTATTTAGTTTCGTTTTTCTGACTTCTCCAAATTGAGTATGATGATTCCAAAAGAAGTCTTATAAGAAATTTGGCTGAAACGTTTCTCGTCATTTTTATGGTAGGTATTTTCAAAAAATTTACCAGAACATTGCCAGAAAGTTTTTCTAAGTTTCCGAAGAAGACGCCCTAGAAACATTTCAGAAACTAATGAGGTTTCTCTCTCCCGGCCTTCTAGTAATTATTGACGTCTAATAAGACTGTAGGCTCTAGGGCTTATGAAAGGAATTCTATACACATTTGTGGAATCTCAGAGAAGAAACGTTTCCAACAATAATTTTCTAAGATATTTCAAAAAGAATACTTCCCAAAAAATATGCAAAATCTATTGATAGCTGGTTATTACTAACTTCGCGCGGGTAAAAGGTGTTTTTTAAGACAGTTTCTAGCAAGATCCCTAATACGAACACTAATTTCAAGACTACTCTAGGATGGTTCTTAAAAATAACGTACAATATGCCCATTTGAAAAGAGTGGCGGGGGGGGCACACGTTCTACCCTTCATGGTATTCTAATGAAAGGTCTCACCGAAATAAATGGGTTTGTACAAACTATAACTTTCCAACACAACTCTTTTTCAAAAGCAACCGGGGCCTGAGGGAAGGGGGGAGGGGGAGTCGAACTGGTTTTATCCTTCATGATACTCTAATGAAAGGTTATATCCATTGGCGATGTCAAAACTTTTACAGCGAATATCCCGAACACGGTTTATCGGAGGAAAGTATCCTCAAAGGCAAAATGAATCGACTGGACGAGACATATTTATTGGTGAAGTCGAAGGAAATACCTTTACAATTAAATTTCGGTAGATGGTACTCATAAAAGCCAAGTAGAACGTTAGGACGAGACATATCTATTGGTGATGTCAAAGCTTTCAGTGCAAATATCTGCAGAATGGAGTGTCGGAAGATTTTGACTGTATGCCAGGCGATCTTTAAATGTTTATCTTGTAATGATATGAAATTTAATAAAATTAATTCTTAATTTGACTCCTGTAGGAATCTGAAATTAATCTAAACTTCTATCAGGAGAAGGCGGTAGTTTCGGAAATGTCATGTTTGTTGACATTCCCACCAGTACGATTACCATCACCATTACATTCCCACTTCCTTCCAAACACTATGTAAACAGAAACCAGATCAGAAAGGGGACTCGTCCTAGAATTGTTTCCCTGATGCTAAGCACTTTATTCCTGTTACCTGGTCAGACGTTAGCGATTGTAAATCGCGCTCTGACACCAGCCCTGTTGAGAAAAGTACCTCAGACGTGTCGGTTGTATTACAGCGCTCTTCCCCAGTTACCGTCCGTGAATTAGGTGTGTACGGCTGTATAGCTGTGCTCATAATTAAGTTATACCTGTTGAAAATTTTCGGTAGACGCTGCGAATGTACATTCACGCTCGCCCGGAACAATCCCTCCTGTAATATACCCTGGATAATGTTTTAGTTTTGTCTTATAACGTAAAACTTACTTGATTTGTATTGATCCCGTTCAATGTTAAATTATAAAAGAAATTGTCTTTGAAACTACCTGCCGGTTTTTGATACTGGATGCTAACCAGGTTATATTACAGATAAATAAAACTACAAGGAATATCAAGGACCCGTTTTGACGTTTCCAATTGGGTCGCATTCAACAATTTTATTATTTAGTTTTCTGTACAGTGTAAATATTTATTTAATTTGTGTACATAATATATTTCTAATTATTATATTTCTTGTATTATACCACGGTTTAGTTGATTAAAATAATGGTGACCTGTTATCTCGGGCTTTAGAGCTACCCTGAACAACTCCCGGTGATCCTGAAACGTAGGCAACCAACCATACACAGGTTGTATTGGCGAACAGGAAGTGGTTTAAAAGGGATATTTTAGAGGCCCTTGGGTTACGAAGAGGTAAAGGGTAGCCTGTAACCACTAGGACCGTTACCATGTGTAAAGAGTCTCCTCACCATTAATAATCTACCAAGAAAGTAAACATCGATAGCATGCTACTACCTTATAACCCACCCTTTTACTTACCTATTTCGGTTTAAAAAATGCGCTTTATCTGCAACAAGAGTTGTGCACATTTTATACTTGTTAATCTATCGCTGTGGTTTGTTCTTTTTCATATTGATTTACTGTTTTTGCGTTGTAATCCACATGTTTTATTATTTAAATACTATCAAGACAATCTCCTAACACTCCAAACAAACATTAGGAATGAATCGTAATTTAAAAAAATTATTATCTTTGCCTTATAAGTCTGAACACGTGATTCTTTCATTTTTACTGTTGTAATCTTATTAGAAAAACTAACAAACAAAACTTGCGATTGTATCGAGGTCATTACGAAAAAAAATCCTAAAATTATTATTAACACTGACCTTTCTTTGTCCGTACCATCCTTACCTGGATTGCCAGTACAAGATTCGTGGCTGACCATTGGGATCTCCGTAACGCGGAGCCATACAGTCATGGTTAAATGGGGGTAAAGTTGCCCGTGTGCTGTGATTTGAAATTTTTGAAAAAATATTCACTGAAATATTGCCGAAAACCTGAAAATGTCAAAATTTATTTTCATTTTCGGTCGGAAATGGACGATTTCCTTTAGCACTTCCTATGGGCACTTTTTTTCGGAGAATCTGAATCTCTTATTCGAATTTCCATTACACGGTACTACTTTTTTATTTTTTATTGGCGCCATGTTGGATTTTTACAGAATAAGATCATCGTTCCGTAAAAATTCAGAATGGCGTCCGTAAGAAATAAGAAAGTAATGGCCATAACACTCAGCTACAGCCTATAGCTTCTACATCAAGCGTGTTATGGAAATTGTGATTACAGATTCAGATTCTCCGAAAAAAGTGCCAATAAAAGATATTAACAGGAACCGTCGATTTCCAACCGTTTAAACTAGGGAAAATAAAATCGAAATTTGAGATTTTCAGTTTTTCAATGATATCCCAGATATTTTCAAAGATTATTTGGGAACATCAAATGCGTCACAAAAAGGGGCCATTTTACCTACACTGTATCTTTCACTGTTACGGAGATTCCACGAATGTGAAGCACCCTGTACAAATAATACCAAAAAAAAGACAAATAAATGAACTCGAACTTGCTTTTTAGTACGAGCTCTGTAATAAAAGCAAAGGCCTCGGCTTCAGCATTTTTTCTTCAAAAAAATGTAAACATACTGAAAAGTTAAGAAAAAGTCAATTTAAACGGGCTAGTAGGAGACTTTGGAGAAGAAACTACATTGTAACGTAAACCTTTGTTTTTTACTGCCAAAGATAATCGTTACGTGACCGCTCAGAGTCAAACAGTAACAGAAACTTTATAATTTGGGCATATTTCGAGATTTTTAATAACGACTTCTCGTCTTGTTCAAATGCAACTTTTCTTGATGGAGGCGCAGAAAATTATTTCAAAGCGGATAAGGTACAATGAAATTCCGTTTCGAGAGACGCTAACGCTTGAGAAGTTACGGAAATCAACAAACGAGAGGAAAATCGATAGAGGGATACGAAAACTTTTATTTTCTTTCGGTGCACGAAATAACAATATATATT